ATGTTAGTCGGTTAACGCACTTTTAGTGATTTTCAACATAACCTTTGTATGGGAGGTGGGCGTGGTTATTGTCCGACTTCTTCTATTTTTGAACTGTATATGGAAAAGCCTAACAGAAACGGCTCTATACAGTTTGGTTGATATAGCTATAGTAGTTTTCGAGATATGTACAAAAAAGTTAGTAGAGGGCGAGGCCACGCCCACTTTTCCAAAAAAATTATATCCAAATAGGCCCCTCCCTAATGCGATCCTTTGTGACAAATTTCATTTTAATATCTTTATTTATGGCTTAGTTATGACGCTTTATAGGTTTTCGGTTTCCGCCATTTTGTGGGCGTGGCAGTAGGCCAATTTGCCCATCTTCGAACTTAACTTTCCCAAAAAATACGTGTTCCAAGTTTCATCATGATATCTCAATTTTTACTCAAGTTACAGCTTGCACGGACATACGGACAGACAGACATCCGGATTTCAACTCTACTCGTCACCCTGATCACTTTGGTATATATAACCTTATATCTTTTAGTTTTAGGACTTACAAACAACCGTTATGTGAACAAAACGAGAATATAAAAACAGAAATACTCAAAACTCCGACGTACACACACAAACACAAACAAAAAAATAAAAATAAAAAATAAATAAATATAAATAAATATGCTATTTTTCATATACAGTATCAAATGTGCGTATGTGGTCGGCGGCATGTAAATTTAGACATTCCTCGGTCAGCTGTGTTTTGGTGAAACTAAAAGACGAGCCTCTTCTTGGCTTAAATAAATAATATGTCTTACAACAAAACAATATATATGTATGTACCTTCTTGTAGAAGTATTCTTCTTCRCGCGCTGCTTCCATTTTCCCGAAAGCACCACCAGCTTCGCGAATCGAACCACCGCCACCGCCCCCTTTGCCAGCACCGCTGCCCAAATCACCAAGTTGGCTATTGCTCATCTTGGCTAATCTGCAACAATCAAAGAAAACATTTATATTTAGCTGTTTCTATCACAGTAAATATGTACAGGTATATTTTAATAAGCAGCATATGCACAAGTAAAAAGCAAAAAACAASATATCGTCACCTTCAGACATAACAAAGTTATAATCCAAATTTAAATTTGGTTCTCGAAAGAGTAGTTTCTATTTTATACTTTTTCTTTTCCTTGAAAATTTATTCAAGGGAATTTTAAATTACATTATATTTCAGGTGAAGATGTACTACTAGTAATATGCTGCCTTGATAAAAGAGCCCTAAATATGGTTTACTGTTTGGCTGATATTACATAACACAGGCGAATTTTTTAGAATTTCGCCGATAGTAATAACTTTTATCGGTAAAAAAAAAAAAAACAGATATTTTTCTTATCACATTTCCTACCAATTTCTTGGTGCTAAAGTGCTGCGGTTTGGTAGTACACGTAAAAGCCTTAAATTACATATGCCGGCTGTAGTTTTATGTTTTAATGCCTCACGAAGGCAGAGAATACTTACTGCATTCCATTGGGGTAAAGGCGCGCTGCGCTACGACGTACTACGAACATTTTGTTTTTTCTGTGAAAATATTAATATAAAGCTAATTAAAACAAATTCAATATTTGAAATCTGTTACGGTAAATAGTTAATGTTATAGTTAAAGTACCCTGATTTTGTTGCTTTATATTAATTTATTACTCAGCAGAATCTTTCGCAATTCTTACCACTTGTCACTTCTGCAGTTAAAAAAATTATGTCAAATTCTTGCCCACCGTATTTAATGGAAACAGGGAGCTGGAATGCTGGACATTCCAGACTGACACTTTTTGTTGCTTTCACGCCAGGTGTCGCGCATTGAATTAACAGCTGACAACAAGCTATTTTACTGTAATTTTACTAACATTTAAAATTCTTATAATATTTATTTATTATACAAATTTAATCGTTCGAATTTATGTTCTGAATGCACAAATGTCTCGATAATCATTATATTGTGAACTTTGTTTTAAATAAATAAATCGAGAACAATATACAATGGCAATACAGCTACGTATTTGGRAAGAAGAAGCAGCATTACTATTTGTCAAATTTTCGCAGAAAGCCAAGTTTGGCTAATGCTTTTGGAAAATAATAATTTTTTCCTGTTTTGTTAATATTTTCTTCATTTTATTTTGTGTAAAACCATCAACAAAAAATTGAACAAATTAGTAAACAAGCACTTTAGTGTAAAATGGTGGAAACTGACGATGCATCCGAGCTCCTTTTCTTCGACACTTTTTCGCATGAAGTGGACACGGTAAGCAAGCAAGCAAGCGCTTTTAATGAAATGCATTTTCGTCACAAAATTCTTAACTGTATCTTAACATCCATTATTTTAGGACATCAATCTTGATCTTGTGCAATTCCCAAAGCCAGTATATATTACACAAGTACGTATAATACCATTGGGAGCACGCGTTCAAGCCGATTTCCCCGGTGGTGTGCGCCTTGGGGCCACAAATCCCTCCAAATTTGATATTGAGTTTTTCGTGAATGATTTGGGCATGCCGGGTGCCTCGACATTTGAAAATTTAGGTCAATTGAAATATAATCAAAACGATTGCATTCACTTAGAATGTACCCAAGAGAAAATACCAACAGATGGTTTAGTCTTACGTGGCTGGTATAGTACGATTACTTTGGCTGTATATGGTATATTAACGAATTCGATGAATGAACCAATTGCAAGTCCACCACCGCCACCTTGTGAACCAGTTGGCCCCGAAGAGATATGCAATTTAAGTGGTAGTGGAGAAACACGTGAACCCAGCATACCGGAGGAGACAAGCAAAGATGAATGGAAAGAACCCCTGCCGAGTGAAGTACCAGCACACAAGACGAATCTTAGTGATTTTGAGCGTGATGAATTAGAATATGGCGTTGGGCGTAGCGGTGCCGGCGAACATTATCAACATTCCGGAGACGAACGCGAGCGTGGTATACGCAAGACTTCACATTCCTCGGAACGTTCATTGCCGTCACGAAATCGCACACACTCGGAGAGCAATGAAAGGGACTACGTGCGGTGAGTTGTGAATTGTTTCAAATTTAATTTTATAACCTATATAAATATATAAAATTTTTCTTCTATAGTTCACGTGGTGAACGGGAACGTGAAAAAGTATCGCGGGACTGGTCACGTAGCCCAGAATATACACGCCATTCGCGTCGCAAACGTTCTGAGCGTTCACGCTCCGATGCCGAGGAGTCACACAAGTGGCCACCACGCACACCACCTGCCTCGATTGACTCACCCACACGTCCACGTTCGCCCGATAACATGGAGTACTCAGAGGATGATGTACATTATAAACTTAAAACGCGCAGTTATATGCGTTCCGATGAATCACTGACGAATGGCGCAGCCGATACGCAACCCTTGGACGATGACGAAACACCCGGTACGCCCGGCGAACAATACGAGCCCATACTCAGTGATGATGAGATTATAGGTGATGATGATTCCAATACTGCAATTGATCAAGTTATGGGCGATGATTTCGAAGCAGAACTGTTGGYTGCCGCCAACGCAGCTTTGCCGGCCATACAGGAGTTTGATCCGTTCACAATGCCCATTAGACGTTATGATAGTGATTTGCAAGCGCTTTATCACAAGGAAGTAGACACTCTATTCATTATAATGGAGAAGTTCGATGTGCAAACAAAATGCGTGAGCGTAGACGCTTTCAATGACCCGACAACCACAATAGAAGAGCGTGAGAATTTTGTCTATTTAAGCGAACAGCTTATCAACCACTTGTCTTACATTTGGCARAACTTCAAACGACGCAATTTTGTGCTGAAAAAGTTCTTCTCGAACGATGCAAAGTATTTGCTGAAATCTTTTAACATTTTAAAAATTGCTTTAGAATTCGAATCGGCTTGCCTGCAACAGCAGCCAGCTTTCAAGATACGTCACATAAAAATAGGYGCACGTCTTACTGAACTCTTTGCATCGGCGCCGGTGTTTTTACAGTATTTGTTGCAAATGCAAAACTTTGACCCCTTCGTCGCGCTCTACAAGCTCTACCAAGARAAATATATGGCAGTATCCATCAAGTTAATGTTGCTCAAAGCCATCTACGCTTTGCTGGGCACTAAGGAAGGCATACGCCACTTCCTAGTTGGTGGCAACCTGGGCGGGTATCAATTGCTCTTCGATACGCTGAAAGAATCGCGTCTCACACGCACCAAATTCGCTTTGCAGGCTATCGTCAAGAAGCTGCACTTGTACGAGGCGCTCGAATGTGTGCGTGAAAATTGCAGTAAACTCTTCGTGCTCACMAATTACACACCAGTCGCGCCGGCAGAACAATATGTTGCCATCGAACGTGCGATTGAACAAATTATGGACGCMTTGACGCACAATTCATTATCTTACCAGCAACCGAAACGTTTCTTACCCGCTTCTAAGAAATTCGAAATCACAGTTGATACAGCAGCGCAGCGCAGTTTTGCCAACGACTTGCAGGCCTACTTCGTGCTGCATACATTGGGCGAATCGCTGCTGCTATTGTTGGTCAATGCCAATGCGTTGCCGGCGACGTTGTTGTTGCGCGTGTTGGATTTGTTGCAGGCGATGCTGCAGACACATGTCGGTGTGGATTATTTTGTGGACGATTGCTTTGAAACTACGCGACTATTGGTAGCGGTGCTTCTGGGTATTGATGAAGTGCCCGAAGATGTGACGCCCACMGTGGACTTTGAAAGTAAGTGGTGAACATAAATTAATTTATTTTATAAATGTTTTTGATTAATTTTTGTTTTATTACATATTTTTAAAAT